CCACAAGGACCTGGCGGGCAAGTGAGTGCGGGCGCCGGCCGCCCTATGGCGGGGCGAGGCGGGTGAACGGCCGTTGGGGTTATGGCTGTTGGGAAGGGACAGGGGGCCTGCCGGGCCTTGAGCGGGAGGGAAGGCACTTGCCTAGCAGTTGCGTTTCATTAAAAAAAAACAACAAATTTCACCTCATGGTTCTGTAATTCTTTATCTGTTGTTGTTGTTGTTGTTTCTAATGACGGCTTGCTCTGTGCTGGTGCTGTTCTAGCGTGGTACCTGAGCCCTTCATCGTGTCAACCTGCGACCCCTCGGAGTTCGTTTACCTGCCCTTCACCTGCGTGAAAATGATAGGTCGGGGGATTTATTTTCCTCGACTGCTATAGAAATTTCAATATTTCCATTATTACTACTTTTTTCCCATTAGGAGGCTATTTTGGATGTCAAACCTTGGGATTTGAGCTACTCACAGGGCAATGGGTCACACACCTTTTATCTCTCCGCCTGCACCCCCCACCTGAGGGTTCAGTCAGAAGTCGATCAGTTCAGTTGAAATTCTTTGAGTCCTTGTTCACTTATTTTCTAGAGGAATTGATTCACGTCTAGGAATTTCATGTTAAAACTTGGAAATGTTCCCCTTAAAATATGGCTTCAATGTGAATGTAGTACTTCACCAGTATTGCACACACACTGAGGTTATGACCCAGGCAAAGTTGAATTAGCTTTATGAAGCGTGAAAACTGGAGTAGATTTTTTTTTTCAGGAATAAGCGCTTTAAAAATGCGTAGTCGGTACCTGTGCTTATGTCAAATGGCCATAACATATTATTAACCTCCCAGTCCCAGCACTGTTTCTCATTTTCATTGAATATGGCATTTTGAACATTTTTTGAACTTTGACTAACCTTTTTAATCTTAATCCATGAGGGATATAGTTTTCATTACATTTTGTGTGCACTATCCTAGGGACATCATGAGGGTCTGGTGTTTTTAACCTTCAAAATCGAACATAAATTCACCGAAAACAAAGTGATGAGCTATATTATCTGAGAATCTAGTCCTGGAGTTTAAAAAGAGCCAGGTACCAATTCCAAGTGAGTGTTCCTGACGTTTGAACGCAAACACTTTGGAAAATTGCAACCTCAAATGTATAGAAAATGAAAACAAAAGGAGCGCTCTGACATAGGAAGTAAGCTGAGAAACAGAACTTGTTAATGACAAAACGTGCTCTATGAGTGATATTTTTTCTTTTTTTTGTAACCTGTGGACAGATATCGTCAGATATTGGAAAAAGCCATTCAGCTGTCGGATGTAGAACAACTTGAAGCTTTGAAAGCTTTTGTAGAAGCAAGTAAGTGCACTTGGTATAATTGGTTGCACACCGAGTAAAGGCCAGGTCTTTAGGATTCTGTATCTGTTAGCTGTGTATGTAAATACATGATATTTTGGTTCTATTGGAACCAAATAGAGGGGAGCCAACTTTGGCATATTGAGAAGTTAAGGGAAAATGGACTTGTAAGCTCTGTAAAATATTACAACTTTCCAGCCTGACAGTGTGACAATATCAGAAGGTAAAAAGATGAAGTAGTCTACTGAATGCTAAGATTAATACTGGATGCCAAGCGGTATTTAGACTAGCAACCCCCTTCCTCCTCAGTCTTGAGTTAATTCGGAAACCTGGCAAGAAGAAATGGTTAGGAATTTTTTTGTGTGTGTTGTATTGGCTGTTTGGCTTAATGAAATTATACCTGCTGTAATTTTTTTTAAGTTGAGAATAAACTTGCTGAATTTAGCCTGAATGTTTACTTTGTCCAAGACACTTCAGCAACTGAGAACAGTCGTTCTGAATGAAAGGCCTTTCTAACTCAGAGTGAGAACTGCGTTATTATCTGTCAGTGGTTAAAAGTCTGGTGACCTCTAGTGCCACCGTTTCTGAGAGAGAAAAACAACTTTTAAAACTTAACCCCCCCCCCACATTTAGATACAGAATTAAAAACTGGAAATATTCAAATTTAATGTGAAAGCAAATGATCACTTACAGTGAAGGTACTGACAAGCATTGCATCCATCTTGTGTTGTTCTTCCATGCATCTCTGAACCAGTGGTGAATGAGAATGTCAGTCTAGTGATATCTCGTCAGCTGCTGACAGATTTCTGTACCCATCTGCCAAGTCTTCCTGACAGCACGGCCAAAGAAATTTACCACTTCACCTTGGAAAAGATACAGCCTAGAGTTATTTCATTTGAAGAGCAGGTGAGAGATCAATGATGAGGGGTTTTTGGTTTGCAGGCTTGGCTTTGGTTTTTTTTTCCTTATGTGTTGACTATTTTTAAGTCTTTAAAATAGCTGTTCAAAACAGACATTTCTGCTTAGAGTCCAATTTTGTATTCCTGTACATACAAAACTTGTGTGAAATGCAGAGAGTACTTAGAACGGTTCAAAGAATGCAGACTTTGTCTCTTCATCTGGATGCCAGGCATGTCATCCCGCCGTCACCAGAAAATGGCTTCCTGCAACAAAACAATACTTGAACTCCTGGAGGCCACTCTCTGTCAAGAGGCAGACTGGTACTCATTGAATTGCATCTCACTCAACTAATGGAGCAGGCAGGTGATGTCAGGAGAGAAGCATCGTGATCAATAGCTTTTGTTTCAAAAGAAGTATCTCTCTGTGTGTATGTATATATTTAAGCCATAAATATTTTACCAGGAAAAATGTTTTCTTGAAATCCTAATTCTACAGTTACCTGCTGAATGTTCTGCCATTCTTTTTCAATAGAGTTCTCGTGTTTGTCTGGGAGTTCTTACAGAAGATGTTTATATAAAAAGCCTCTAGGATCTAGTATTTGAGAAGAAAAGCAAGGCAGTTTCTGTAGCAATTTGTATTTGCTTCTCTTTATCTTTTGTCTTTTTAAGCAGCTTTTACTCTAAGTCTTAACTGAACATGCTCACCTATATGTTATAATGATCACATGTACATCCAAGACAACATGATGTGTTTTTTAACTATGCTTCTGGTTATAAACCCCAGATTGTACGCATTGGTATTTTACCTGTTGACAGCTGCTCTGCAAAATAGAAATTTCTGCATTGGGATCTAATCACCTCATTCATATCTCACAGGCATGGTATAAGGAATAACTACAAGAAATGGCTTGTGAATCTTGGTGCTCCAGTTCTTGAAAATCTTGTTCCATCTTTTTAAAAAGCTTTATAAAAGGTTACTACTTACCACTCCCTGAAGATAAACTCCTTTCATCTTGTTGCAAGCTTAAGCGGAAGTGCTTCAAATCAGCACTCATGTTTAGATAACTTGGTTTTAAAGCTTGATGTGGGAATCCCACACAGGACTCCTTGTGTGGGAGGAGTTGTGTGTGTGTAGGTTACTGTGTCTGGGGTATTAATTAATGAACGGGAACAAACACTGAATGTTAATATAGAACTATTCAACTTTTATAGTGTTTGCTATTGGTTTTATTATTATTTAGGTCGCTTCAATAAGGCAGCATCTTGCATCAATCTACGAGAAGGAAGAAGACTGGAGGAATGCAGCGCAAGTATTGGTGGGGATCCCTTTGGAAACAGGGCAAAAGTGAGTCCTGTGCTAGACACAGTTCTGTGTTGTTGAATATGCTTGCGCCCTTTGTACTTAACTAGACCAGTGAGTGAGAATTTTGAGGTTGCATATTTCTGCAGTTTCAGTAGTTCAGGCCAGAACTACTGCCAGATGACACAAGTATTGCTTGATGACTGTGTGTTATGGTAAACAGTTTAGTGGGTCAAAATACTGCACTGGAAATACTGCACTATTTGTCGGTCCATTAATAAACAGTCTTTTTGATAGTAGTTTACAAAAAATGCTTCTAAGGTTCTTGAAAGGTGGCAGTTCTTCCATGCATTGGCCTTTACACTTCAACCTGAAGACATAGTTTGAAATTGGGTATTAAAAAAATACAGTTGAGCCTTTATGTGGGAGTTGGTTTGTGCACTGTGTTCTGTTTTTTGTTTTGTAAGTCTAGAACTACTTCTCTCTGGGTGTCCTTTCTATCCTCTTTCTCTGTATACACGTAGAAGGAATTGCTGTAGATTTTGGTAGTTTAACATCTACTTGTTCCAACATAAGTTTGCTGCTTTACTCAAGTGGCTCACCATTTATGGCAAACTTCCAATCCACTAAAAGCAGATTATTAGAGTGTACATTTGTGTCTTGGTGGACAGCATTATTCCTACTGGTGTTTGTAGGAGCCAGTTCTATATTGGCATTCATCTCAAATTTCTTTACCCTGAACAGAGACCACTAATTTTGGTGTTAAGGAAGAAGAAAACCACAAGTTGCCAAGTGCTTAAGAATTGAAATACATTTTTCGAACAGATAAAACCAAGGGTAGTTGTGGAACAACTCTGAGCACTCGCTTTTCTGTTTCTCTACAGACAGTACAATGTAGATTATAAACTGGAGACCTACCTGAAAATTGCCAGGCTCTATCTGGAGGATGATGACCCAGTTCAAGCAGAAGCTTATATTAATCGAGCTTCCCTGCTTCAGAATGAATCAACTAATGAACAGCTGCAAATCCATTATAAGGTTGTGTAACTTACTTTATTGCTTTCTCTTTCTAAAGGGAAATGATGCCACATTGAGATGTTGCTATGCAATGCCACTAAAACTTTCATAATGAGAAAAGAGGTAGGGAAAAGCTTCTAAATGGAGCTTGAGAGCCACATCTTAGCAATAATTAGATGGTTCATTCCTTATGATTTGGGGAGAAGTCTGTAAAGGTTTCTTAAATCCCAGCTTTACTGATTGAAAATAAAATGTAGGCTTCAAAACATCTGAAATATTGTTGAAAATGTTGCCTCCACCTTTGTCTGTCAATGTAAGAAAAAAAACAACCATGTCCAGTATTAGAGACAATGGAATACGTCCCCATCTTGTACTTAAATAGTAAGTTCCATCCATGAAAGTAGCTTTAAGTCTCAAGTAGTAATCAACCTTACTGCTTATTTGTGGGTTTACTGTGTATATAGTTCATACGCTAATTTCTCAAACCATTTTATTAACTGGGATGAGCAGTGATTATAGTGTGACAGTACCAATAAAGTGTGGTGGTGTCTAAAATTCTGCAGCACAAAGCAGATGTGCCATGAGCTGTAACTTCAGTTGTGGTGGTTTTGGTTTGTTGGTTTCTCTTTTTTTTTTTTTTTTTTCCAATCCTCCTATACTGTTTCAAAGCATACACTCAGTTGGAAATGTAGATACTTTCTGTATTGTAAGCATTAGAAAAGCACAAAGGAAGAGAGAGAAGAAATATCAGATGCTGTTACAGTTCTGTAAGAGAAAAGCAAACACTTGAAACATAAATTGCTACCTAAGTGCTAGGTGTCAATGTCAGTGGTGAAGGGGAAGCTTACATAAGTACAGTATCAGCTGTACAATACTTCACTTACTTAGTTTCTGGCATTTAGACATTTGCAATACTTAACATGTAAATAGTGCTGGGAAATGCCCTTTCAATTACTTTCCATGATACTTCAACAAGGGTTTTAAAAGTCAAGCTAATCATTCAAAGACTCAGATTTCCCTAGGATGCAGTAGAGCAGTATTTATGGGAGATGTCACTTGGTAATGTGGGAATTTATACACACCTATGTTATGCAACCATCCCTATTAGTTTTCTTTTTCTGAGATGTATTTTCTTCCTAGGTTTGCTATGCTCGAGTTCTTGATTACAGAAGAAAGTTCATTGAGGCTGCCCAAAGATACAACGAGCTCTCCTATAAGAGCATAATCCATGAAACTGAGCGACTGGAGGCATTGAAGCATGCTTTGCATTGTACTATTTTGGCATCAGCAGGTAAAATACATGTTAAATTTTTGTATAAAAGACCCAACTTAGGTATTTCATATCCCACAAAGCAAGTCAGCTTGTGCATTGCTTGTGGTGAGGGATCTTGTCACTAAGATTTAGTCAAGCAATCCAGAATTGTGAGCACGGTGTCAAAATTACACATTGGCATGCTGTTAACTCAGAGTTGGATTACTTCTGTGTCTTTTCCAGTGATAAGGTGGCATCTTGGCTAAAGATGCAAAAGGTAGCCAGTGGCAAGCAATGTTTTGGAACTGAACACAGCAGAGTTCCTTCTTTGGTAGAGCTTTGTTGGTTAATTGCATGTATTAAGGAAAGAAAGATTATAACTTTCTGTTGTTTACTTCTAAATACTCAATGGTTTGGTGATCATTTATGAAGATTTTTATTGACTCTCCTAGGACAACAGCGTTCTCGCATGCTTGCTACACTCTTCAAGGATGAGAGATGCCAGCAGCTTGCAGCCTATGGGATCTTGGAGAAAATGTATCTTGACAGAATCATCCGTGGAAATCAACTGCAAGAGTTTGCAGCTATGCTCATGCCTCACCAGAAAGCAACTACAGCCGATGGTACATATTTCTCTAAAGCCTTGGATTGCTAAGTGTTCATCCATGGGAGTCAAATTTGCCCATTGCAATCAAGAAATGTGATGGAAAAGAATTTAGCATTGTTTATTTGATTATTTAAAAATTATTTTCCAGAATGTTGCCCTCATGAGTACAGTTTAATAGTAAAGCTTCTCATTTTTCTGATTGGCTGCTAAGGCTTTGAAATATTCTTCCAGAAGCTTGTAAAAGTCTGGTTTCTCTGTGCATTTACAGTCCTCTTTACTGACAGCCTCCTAGTATTTCTGATGTTGCTTCATTCTTTGAGTCTCTTGCCTTTTGAGCTTCTCAAGTTCAAAGGCACTGTTTTGAATAGGATGCTCAGGAACACGTGACGTGCATGTAGGCTGTAAAAGGTCTTTGTGCATAAATTTATTTGAACTGCTTTCTGACTGTTGACAGACAGTGCAAGGTCCAAGTCATCCTTTCACTGTCTCTGAATTATTTTCTGATCCATCACACTCAAATCTTAGTAGCTTTGTTCTTCCTGGGACCTCAGAACAGGGAGAAATAATGCGAAGTAATTACTTCACTGGAATCCTAAACACTGGTCTCAATTTTCTAAATTAAAAGAATATTGAAGTGGAAGCGTCTTAGTCAGGCAAACCTTCTTTGTGAACATTACTTGTTTAGGGACAAATAAACAACTGTGTAATGGCAGAGGTGAAATCTGGTTAAAGATTCTTACTGTTAGCTGCAGTCCTTTCCCTGGGTCGATTTGTTGTTTATTTATAACCTATGCTGTTTGTCCTTACAAATTAAAGAATGCAAGTTAGTTTGTATTTAATAATGTGCTTATCTTCAGCTGGGGGTTAAAGGACAAATTAACTCAGTTGTTAAATCAAGAAGAGAAATTAGATGAAGATTTATCTTCATACAAGCACAGTAAGAGAGAGGTTAATTGTACTCCTAAGAGCTGTAATGAATGAAAAAAAAAAAAAAAGAAGAATGGTGTTTCCATTTGGCAAGCTAGCAAGTGATCACAGGAGGTTAAACTTCGTCAATTCAGATGTTGGGTCTGGTAGCAAAACTGAAGGCCCCACTTGATTATTCTAGAAATTAAAAAAAAGAGTTTAAGCTACCTGTCTTAAAAACAACCATTTGCCATTCATTTCCTCTTGCTGACTTTCTTCTGGATAGCATAACACTGATGCAAGGCAGGTGCATCTGGACCTTCTGCAGACATAACCCTTGGGGGGGGAAAAAAGCATTATCCATTTGCTCTACAGTATAAACCAAGTATTTGAATCTTAGAATAATGGAATTTTTTCTCATTCAACCACACAGGTTCCAGTATCCTGGACAGAGCTGTTATTGAGCACAACTTACTATCTGCGAGCAAACTTTACAACAACATTACTTTTGAAGAGCTTGGAGCATTACTAGAAATCCCTGCAGCTAAGGTATCAGTTTTGTACGTCTTTAGTAAAAACAAGGAGCATCAGAGACATGAGAAAGTTGCTGTGGAAAATATTAGGAAAATTAATTAAATATTATGAAATAATTAAATATTCCATATTATGAGGAACATTAAATACCTAGCACATCTTATAAGGAAAGGTGCACGATGTGGAATGAACAACAGTGTAGTTAGATGCCACTGATACTATGTCTAATCGTTTAATAATTAGTGTTGTGTCTAGGGTTTTTTCCCCACCATGTGTGGAGATGATGAAAAACCCATAAGGACTATGAAGTCTTAAAAATTTTTAACTTCTTTAAGAATGGAAAAAGTTTCTAACATCTTTCTTCATTATTTCAGGCAGAAAAGATAGCTTCTCAGATGATAACTGAGGGTCGCATGAATGGATTCATTGATCAGATTGATGGAATTGTTCATTTTGAGAGTAAGTTCGACCACAGTAATTTAATTTTTTTAACACCATTCAGAGTGATGTATTTGGGTTGCTGCCTTATAACATGAGGAAATTAGTTCTTAAGATCTTCTGTCTGAAGTGAAGGTTGCTTCATCTTGCTGTGGCCAGGAGGTGGCAGAGTTTGCCATAAGGGAGGACCACACTTCACCTCTCCTCCCTACTACCCACAGGAAAGTGTGAATTTATTCCATCTGTCTCCCTGTAGGAGCAGGTTCATTAGGAAGTTCTCCGTTTAGTTCTACTTTTCAGTGCAGGAGTTAGGCTTGTAACAGGCAGCTAAAATGACTGTAGCTTTTGAATACGGAAATGAGCATGATGTAGCTGCAAGGAAGGCTTCCTCGGTGAGGGCAGTGTCAAAAGAAAGGGTTGCAGTTGAAAAAGCAAGGGAATTGCTAAGACTTACTTTGTTTTGCATGGTGTTTGTTTTGGGTTTTTTTGCAGCTCGTGAAGCTCTGCCAACCTGGGACAAGCAGATTCAGTCACTGTGTTTCCAGGTTAACAACCTGCTGGAGAAGATAAGTCAGGCAGCCCCAGAATGGACAGCACAAGCAATGGAGGCCCAGATGGCTCAGTGACTGTGCAGTCATTGTGTGAACGGGGGCGATCAACCACCGGGTGTGCTGGAAGAAGGGAACTGAGCAGGACTGCAAACCAAACGACTGACCTATCCTCTTTTCCCCATCTTCTGCTTTCATTCTGGCTTAGGACACAGTTAGGTGATGCCACGTTTGGTGTGACAGTCCTCCAGTTCTCTGAGCATAGGATGTTGCTGTTGCTGCCTCTACATTGCATTCTGCTGTCCTGAAAGCTGTGGTTTCCACATAGAAGCAGCTGTGATGTCTGCACCAGGCTTTGGTTTTGGTTTATTTAATTTTATTTTTTTTCCCTGCTGTATTACTGTAGCTTTGTAGCCCATTACTTCCTATGGTGTTTGCCCTGCTGTAAGAATGTAAGTGCCATGTTTTTTTCAGTTGTAATTATTCTAATAAAGGCTGGAGTGAACAACTTGGTTTAAATGTTGCAGGGACCTGGGTTATTTTTCTTAAGCAGTAACTTGAAATAAGCAGAATTTTTTTGAATTGTCAGTTTCAGCCCCAGAAAATCTTAACTGAGAAACAGCTTTTTCCTTCTCTCCTTATAAAATGCAAGTCTGAAATCTTAACTGAAGGAAATACTGACGCTTCTCCTGCATTGATGCAGCAGGGCACAGAATTATCTGAGCTAAGTGTTGGGGTAAAGACCCCACTGAGAGAGACGGGGGTAAGTGGTGAGAAATGTAGCACATGCCACATAAGGTAGGAGGAGCACGTGCTTTGTTTTATTCTCTAGGTCTGCATGAATTGGTGATTTAACAGAAGTATTCATAGTGGTTTTTTTGGAACTGAAGGTGTAATGAGAGACTGACAGGTAGGGGTTCTGCACTACAAAAGATTAAATACCCTCTGAAACTGGAGTAGCTGGAGAATACTGAATGGATTACTTATACAATGAGCTACAATGAGGAGGTAGAGGTGTCATGTGATAAGCAGGGCTAACCTGAAATGTTCATGCATAGCACTGAAGTAACAAGAGTGGCCCTTTTGATGAATATCAGTCTGGGGGTGTGTGCTCTACCCATTCATAAGGTCTGCCAGATACATGAGTCTTGCTGTGTGACCTGCTGGAGAAGTTTCAGTGGAGACCTCTTCTGGTAATGGGGAGACGGGGCAGAGTTTCATCAGTAGCTGTTCCTGCCCAGAGGTTATCTTTTAGTCTGAGGTGATCACATTCAGGTTGTAATTTCAGCTTTGATATGAATTGCCTTAGATAATTTTTCATTTCAGTCAAGTAATAACTTCTTAGGAGTTTTCAGACTAACTGTTCATCCTAGTCTTGTCTCAAAATCTGGAGGGTGTTGGTGTATTCTCAACTCAAAGGTTTTGACTTAATGTACAACTCTAATGCCTTGATTTTTGTTCTGAGCTCTTTTTTTTTTCTTGGACACGTCTATGCATTTGTATTTGTAGTGCTCTTAGGTTTTTAGAAAGCAGAAGCTAGTGAAGGGTGGTTCATCCATAAATAGGATGGACTTCTGGCAACCTGGTAGGTGGTATTTCTGAGTCCTGAAACAACTGGCCAAGTACATTATTCTGGATCCCTGGTGGTAGCATCCTTCAGTTTCTCTGGGAGGGGAAGTGGTGACAGAGCAGCTGTGGGAGCAGGAAGGAGCTTCTCACCTCTTGACTAATTTACTGTAAAAGTGCAGAGGTGGAAGATTTTCCAGATCCTTATTACAGATGGAGGTTGGGTGCCTGTTGTCTTGAATTATACAATTCCTCCCTCACCCAGTGCCTCTTCCTTGCCAGGGGAGGGAGGTCGCAAAGAGGAAAGGAGATTTGTGGGTTGAAATAGAAATATATTTAATAATAACTAATATAAATGACATTTATAAAATACACAGAATTATACTTGGCCAATATTGTAGGGGAGTAAGCCTCAGGGGTAGGACAGTAGACAAGTCCCTCTCGAGATGTAAGCTATGAAAGAGAGGAAGGAGGAAGAAGGGAGAAGGGCTGTCCTCCACAAACTCCCCAATTTACAGTGAATGTGATGTTTATGGTATGGGATAGTACTAATTGCTCAGCCTGGGGTCAACTACCCTGGTTTTCCACTTTCACAGAATCACACAGAATGTTAGGGATTGGAAGGGACCTCAAAAGATCATCTAGTCCAATCCCCCTCCCAGAGCAGGAACACCTAGATGAGGTTGCACAGGAAGGCGTCCAGGTGGGTTTTGAACGTCTCCAGAGAAGGAGACTCTACAACCTCTCTGGGCAGCCTGTTCCAGTGCTCTGTCACCCTCACTGAGAAGAAGTTTCTTCTCGAATTTAAGTGGAACCTCCTGTGTTCCAGCTTGTGTCCGTTACCCCTTGTCTTATCATTGTTTGTCACCGAGAAGAGCCTGGCTCCATCCTCGTGACACTCACCCTTTAAATATTTATAAACATGAATGAGGTCTCCCCTCAGTCTCCTCTTCTGCAAACTAAAGAGACCCAGCTCCCTCAGCCTCTCCTCAGAAGGGAGATGCTCCACTCCCTTGATCATCTTTGTGGCCCTACGCTGGACTCTCTCCAGCAGTTCCCTGTCCTTCTTGAACTGAGGGGCCCAGAACTGGACACAATATTCCAGATGCGGTCTCACCAGGGCAGAGTAGAGGGGGAGGAGAACCTCTCTCGACCTACTAACCACCCCCCTCCTGATACACCCCAGGATGCCGTTGGCCTTCTTGGCCACAAGGGCACAGTGCTGGCTCATGGTCATCCTGCTGTCCACCAGGACACCAGGCTGTCCTCAGCCTCTGCATCTGGTTATCTCAAGACTGCTGAGGTCCTTGAGCAATCTGCGGCAGCTTTAGTTGAAACCTGTAACAAAGTGTCTTATCACTTTGTTCCATTGAAAGAGAGTGTTGCAGTCCTTACAAAATTGCAGTTTTCCTCAACAGAAAACTGACTCTAGTATTCTGTCCCAGTAAACCAGGACAGTTGTCCAGTGTGAGCTGACATGGTCCAGTACAAGGGTCTCTGTCTACTAGGATTGATGCCTGGAATTCTAGATGCTCACCTCTGATGCTCCTGAGGGTCATCTGTCTCACTAAATAGCCTCTTGCATTACCCACTAATAAAGCAGATGTAAATGGTGTATTGGCTACAGGAGAGATGTTTGTATTTCAGTAGATGGCAGTAAAAGCCAGGCTGATGGAGAGCCACTCTGGAGCACGCTGTTCACATCTGTGCTGTACTGCATTTTACAAGTCAGCAGTGTCAGAACTCAGAGCTAGCTCTGGCTATTCATTGGATAGCTTCTATTTCCAGATGGCATTTTCTTTCTCTCAGCTCTCCCAATTAATTAAAAGGCAAGTGTAGTGCCAAAACACTGATGTAGGCAGTAGAAGACAGATACACAATATCTAATCAGTAATGACTTGAGTAGTAATGTAATCTAGTATCAGAAGAAAAAATATACCTTTCCAACAATTGTGATTAGGGTTTTGTTCAATTCACTGAAGTGCAGGGACTTCATAATCAAAATAGAAACCTGGAGTGGTGTGGTAAATTCACTCTTTTAACTAGTCATACTATCACAACTTGAGATTTGGTTAACAGCAGTTTTAGAGATGATCAGACATCCCCATCTCATTTCTTTAGAGCAGGTGCATTGTTAGCCTGGTTTAATCTGGAAAGTGTCACTTATGTTTTGACTTGGCTTATATTTTTCACGCTGGAATACTTCAGTGAGCTGTGAAACCAATGTTACTTAAGGATTTAGGATTAAGTTGGATGCACGAGCTCTTATATGTTGAATCCTACAAGGAGATGAATCTGTGGTTTTGTAATAACGGTAACTTAGCCCTATTGCAACAATATATTCCTTGCCAAGATTTCACTCATTTCACTGTTCCCATCTGGGAGAAAAAAAAATGTAGAACCATTGAAATACGGAAGTAACAGTTACAGAGGAAGCCAGCATCTCCCAAACAAAAATAAACAACAGGGATTTGTCTAGTACCAACACTGACACAGGAAAGATAGCAGCCTGAAAAATTTATATTTGCTGTTACTAAATACCTTAATAACATTCTTTTTCTAAAAAAATGAAAACATTTAGTCATAATAGCATTCACAGACTTTTAATAGACTTACCTACTGTTTTTCCATTTCTGCTGTTGATGTTTAAAAAGCATGATAAACATTGAGACTTCAGAAGCTTTTATACTTTTGTTGTCTCTATAACTCTGACTATAGGCCAGTCAGTCTCACCTCTGTGCCTTTCTCCTGATGGCTCCTAAGGCACCTGGAGAACGAAGATGAGGTGATTGATGGTAACCAACACGCCTTTACCAAGGGCAAATTGTGCCTCACCAATTTGGTGACCTTTTATGATGGAGTTACAGCTTTGGTGGATAAGGGAGGAGCAACTGATGTCATCTACCTGAACTTGTGCAAAGCATTTGACACTGTCCTGTGTGACATCCTGGTCACGAAACTGGAAAAGTGTGCATTTGGTGGATGGACCACTTGCTGGATAAGGAATTGGCTGGATGGTCACACTCAGAGAGTTGTGTCCATCAGTGGAGACCAGTGTCCAAATGGAGACCAGTGACAAGTGGTGTTCCCCAGGAATCAGGACTGGGACCAGCACTGTTTAACACCTTTGTCAGCGACATGGACAGTGGGATCGAGCGCACCCTCAGCAAGTTTGTGGATGACACCAAGCTGGGTGGTGCAGTTGACACCCTGGAGGGAAGGAATGTCATCCAGAGGGACCTGGACAGGCTGGAGAGGTGGGCCCATGCCAACCTCATGAAGTTCAACAAGGCCAAGTGCAAGGTCCTGCACCTGGGTAGGGACAATGCCAAGCACAAACACAGACTGGGTGGAGAATGGCTCGAGAGCAGACCTGAGGAGCAGGACTTGAGGGTGTTGGCTGGTGAAAAGCAACATGAGCTGCCAATGTGTGCTTGCAGCCCAGAAATCCAACTGCATCCTGGGCTGCATCAAAAGAAGTGTGGCCAGGAGGACAAGGGAGGTGATTCTGCCCCTCTACTCTGCTCTCTCCTGAGACCCCACTTGGAGTACTGTGTCCAGCTCTGAGGCCCCCAAGATAAGAAAGACATTGAGCTGTTGGGAATGGGTCCAGAGGAGGGCCATGAAGGTGATCAGAGGGCTGGAGCACCTCTCCTATGAAGACAGGCTAAGAGAGTTGGGGCTGTTCAGCCTGGAGAAGAGAAGGCTCCAAGGGCACCTTACTGCGGCCTTCCAGTTCCTGAAGGGGTCCTACAGGAAAGCTGGAGAGGGAATTTTTACAAGGGCAGTAGCGATAGAATGAGGGGGAATGTTTTTAAACTCCAAGAGGGTAGATTTAGACTAAATATTGGGAAGAAATTCTTTACTGTGAGGGTGATGAGACACTGGCACAGGTTGCCCAGGGAAATTGTGGATGGCCCTTCCCTGAAAGTGTTC